GGGGGGAGAGGAGCTGGGGGTGGAGGACAGGGGGGAACCAGCAGGATGGGGGGGGACTTACCTCCTCCTCCTGCTTCCTCCTCTGCCTCCCTCCACCACCCCCCGCGAGTATCGCGGGTCCCCCCTTGTTAATAGTATATATGCATCTTTGAAGAAGACAGCCGAAACAAAGCTCATATCCGGAATCTTCGTTGAGCTTTACTGAACTGCATTACATGTTTGAATTTTATAGTTTAATTTGCAAACCTTGTGCTGACCATTGTATATTCTTGCATATATCTAATATAAGTAGATATTGTTATAAGTACATCTATATAAGTACATCTTGCTATCTCTAGCGTCTGCTCCCAGGTTCAATCCCCAGCAGCAGAATCTGATCTGGGAGAACCGGGCTTGATTCCCCACTCCTCCACATGCAGCCAGCTGGGTGGCCTTGGGCCAGCCACAGTCCTCTCAGAGTTGTTCTCTCAAGAGCAGATCTCTCAGCGCTTTCTCAGCCCCACCTACCTCACAAGCAATCTTCCCTCTAAGCTGTGGAGTCCCGTGAGCAGAAATTCTACTTTGTGAGCTACTGGCATTAAAGTTGTGAGCAGGTAGTTTGATTGCTGCATAAAATTAGTTTGCTCTGGAGCCATCCTTCCTGAGATAAGACAAAAATGTGTGAGCTGGAGGCTAAAAAACTGTGAGCTAGCTCACACTAACTCAGCTTAGAGGGAACACTGCTCACAAGGTGTCCGTTGTGGGGAGAAGGGCAGGAGATTGTAAGCCCCTCTGAGTCTTCGAGTGAAGGGTGGGGTATAAATCCAACTCTTCCTCTTCCTCCTCCTCCACCCCCCCTCCCCAGCTGGATGTTTTGCAAGTAGGCAGGGGAAGGACACACAGGCAGGCAGGAGGCGTGGGGGTGGGAAGGAAGGAGGGCACAAGCAGGGGCCTAGTAGTGGGCAGAGGAAGGGAAGGGATCTCTGCCCAGGAGCCCCCCCCCAAAAAAAATACTTGGAAACAGCACTTACTGGTTGCCCCAGTGGGCCACCTCCTGTGCTGCTGCCAACCTGTTATGTGCCCAGCATAAAACCACTCTACTCGGATCTGGCCGACAGCAGCCCAAGGTGGCCCTAGGGCAGTCTGCACTGCCACCAGGTGGCTCTGAGCCAGTCAGTCCCTGAGTTTCCTCCTGGGCCACTTCAACAGACTCGTCTTCCCTTGCGTAGAATGAGAGAAGTCTGCTTCTGCGGGTTAAACTTTTGGGGAGTGTGACCTCCGCTTACCGAATGTATGGGCCTCACCCAAATCGTTAACCAGGGGTCATTTTGTAGAAAAAGAGGTGCAGGAGCTCATTAGCATAACGTATTAGCATAACTCGTTTGCATATGCCACACCCCCTGACATCACCGGAAGTGTGTCAGAAGGCAACACCACCGCTCAGGCTTCACTGGACTGTTTTGGATTGCCAGCTATTGAGGGGGAGGAGCGCAGATCTGCCCTCAAAGAGGAGGGAGAGCTTGTACCTGAAGGTGGGCCGGGGGGGGGGCTCTGCAACACCTGGCTGCTTCTTGCTCCTCGTGGCCTGACTGAGGGCTGCTGGGAACAGGGGGCGGGGCTTGTTGCATGTGCCTGCCCCCTGGGCTCCTTACTGCCAGCTTCGCTCCTGTGCGCTCCTGCAGGAAATGACCCCTGACGTCGTTAACAGAGGGGAAACACCCCATTCCATAGGAGGGCAGAGCCACCTCGATAATACCAGGCCTGAAATCATTCCGATAACCTTCAGAGGGTGTTTGAAAGTGAGACGGACGGTGAGCCATTTGTTGTGTACTCTTTTTGTTAACTTCACCTGAACATTCTGAGCCCGTTCCCTCCTCTCTATAAACAAAGAAGACAGACAAGAGATGAGAGAGAGAGAGAGAGAGAGAGAGAGAGAGAGAGAGAGAGAGACCACCTTTATCATCCTGATAAGCTGAGGCTGCCGGCATATTAAAAAAAAGAGTCCCTCAACTATTAGATGTGAAAAGAGGTGACACGGAGACAAGCCAAGTCGCGGAATCGGCAGAAGGAGACTGCAAGCCAGGTGACACAGGCAGGAGTTTCAAAACACCCAACTCGGCGGGATCCAAAACAAAGGAGAGATGTTCAAGAGAGCGGGTCTTCCAAAAAGCATGACTCGGACAATGGGCCACATTGTACTATTCAGCTCCGCTAAGGGGGGACGCCGTCCATCCATGACAGACTGTGTCCCCATTAGCAGAGCAGAATGGCACAATATGGCCCGATACGTTTTGGTCTCCTGCAATATTAATCCTAACAACGGGTCCTCCTGCTCTTCTTGTAAATAGAGAACATCCCCGCAGGGACCGCCTGAGTTTTCTTGCCACAACATTAAAGTTTCATGGTTGTCGGAATCGCCAGCCCCTTCGCTTGCTGTAAAACAACACCGGCCATGCGAAGCGAGCTTTAACAACCATTCCAATATAGATTTCTCTCTTTTTTTTCAAAAAAAGAAGAAGAAGAATACACCGTACAGAGGGAGGAAGTACGGGGAGGAGAGCTATAATGAAATAGTCTTTTAATTAAATGAGATTGCCTTCCTGGGATCAGGCCTTCATGCTTGTCAGCTTACTCTCAAAATAAACATCTCAGCACCGGGCCTCGCCAGTGTCACTTACGGAGGCAAAGCACGCTGGGTAATCCCTAGGTATCTTGACAGCTACATAATGTTGAAACTGTTTCACGGGTGAACGGCAGCACTTGCGTGAAAGAAAATATTAATGTCTAGAATTAATAGAAAAAAAGGGGGGGAACGGCGGTTGACAAAGCCAAAATGAGGGGAAAGAAGTGTCAAGTTAGTAGAACGTTAATTGTGGGGGGGGGACAAATAACTGAGAGGCAGACAGAGGGGGAGAAGGAGAAAAGGAAGGATAGGAGCGAGGAGGGGGGTCCCTCCCCCTCCCCCTTCCCACCCAAACTCCAGCCAAGCAAAAAACTGTCATGCAAGTAACATCTCAACTAGGCAAGCGGGAGGAGGGGGCAGAAGGAACGGGAAGGCGAGTTGGCTGCTCGGCAACACAACACCGACGAGATACCGATGGCGGGCCTTGGTTTCAATCAGCCGACGGGCTTTAACTTTAAAACCAGCCGTTTTGCAGACAACGAGACAGGGAGACGTTTAGTTAAAGCTGGTCCTCCAGATTCTACCAAGGAGTCCCACCACATGATGATAAAAATAATAATAATTATTATTATTAATGCCATCAAGTTGCAATCAGCCCACAGCAACCCCACATTAGGTTTTATTTATTTATTTATTTTTCACATTTATATCCCGCCTTCCCCAGTGGGCTCAGGGCGGCCAGCAGAAGCAGGGCAATTAACCATGCCATAGTTAAAACATGTCAAACATATTAAAAACATCAACACTAAAACAATGGTGCTCAATCAATTTCTGATCTCATGTCCAGGAGGTAGTCTGCACAATTCCAGGTGATACTCCCATGATATTTTTGCCCAATGGAGATGGCGTGTTAGATCTTCTTTACGTTGTCCAGGTTCTTCCTCAGGGCCTCGTCCAGAAATCTTATAAGGAACCATGACGATGGTGGAATAGTGGGGCGGTGGCTCCTACTCAAAGGCCTGGCGGAAGAGCTCCGTCTTACAGGCCCTGTGGAAATGCAGAAGGAACTGCCTTTCAAGGCAAAAGGCATTCAGAGGTGGTTTGCCATTGCCTGCCTCTGCGCAGCAACCCTGGCCTTCCTTGACCATCTCCCATCCAAATCCTAACCGCAGCTAACCCAGTTTAGCGTCTGAGATTTGACCAGCTCAGGCTACTCTGTGCTATGCTGGCTCCAAAAACAATGGTCGAGGTCACACACGCGACATACTGCAAGGGGAATGCGAGGCTATTTGCTCCACAGGTATTTGA